GAATTTACGTGCAAACGTTTGTGTGTTTTCTTTTCTTTTGGTGCAAATCAAATGCCGTCCGCTAGTCAGCAGTAGGGTGCAATGGAGTTTGTTTCCACCACTGAAATGTAAATCCCTCTATTATGGTTCAGATACCTCATGTAAATCATGTTAAGTATCAGTTTGGACCATTTATTGAATTTTCCTACAATAATTTTAGTCTAAAAAAAACGCTATAATTGTCCGACTGAATGTATCGCAATATATCGTGATACATCGTATCGTCTCCCCTGTATCGTGATAAGTATCGTATCGCCAGAATTTCACCAATACACATCCCTAACAGAATCCATTTCAAAGTGCGTCTACTAGATTATAAATCACTCAGTGGCGTGGGACCAAAACATATGTCAAATCTCCTTCCTGTATATACACCCAGCAGGACTCTGGGATCCTGTCAGCTGGTAGAACTTCGGGTCAGAACCAACCAGAGCGAAGCTGCTTTTAGCTACTATGCTGCACACAGATGGAGTCTGCTTCCTTATGACCTTAAATGTTCCCCAACTCTAGTAACTTTTAAATAAAAACGGAAAGCTTTCATGCATTCGTCTGCCTTTGAATGAATGTTTCTTACCTTCTGCACTATAACTCCTCTATCTCATTCTAAAATCTGAATTTAGTTTGTGTATTCTAATTACGTCGTCGTGTTGATTTTGCTGTTCTTGCTCCTGGGAAACACTCTGAATTGCCTCTGTGCGTGAAATGTGCTGCACGAATAAAGCTGCCTCGCCTCAAATTATCAGCAGACTCTCGTTACTTAATAAGACTTCATTCGTTTTCAGTTTCACTCCAAAAACTTCAGTTTTTATTCACATATTTACTATTTTCTCTGGATTAAAGTAATATCTTCTACATGGCTCGCTTGCATCGTGTTCCCAGAGCAGCTCGTTAAACTGTTTGAATGTGTAGGACCTGTTGAATCAGTGCGCAAGAGCACCTCTAGGATTTTAGTTTCCCTGCGTCTCTAACGACGAGCCGGCCACAGCTGATCACACAGACGATCCCTGTCTGGAGAAGACATGCTCGAGCTTAGTCGGCCAGAGGGAGTGAACTCTGAAAATCAAAAGACATTAACCAATTAGCTCTGATCAATAGTCACAGCCACGCTGGGATGAGCCAGACTCGGAGCATTGTTAATGTGTGCCTCTAGGCCAGGAGACAGACTGGGAATACTTCTGCTCTCTGCTCTCAGCCAATGGAAATGTGGGAAGAACCACTGACACGCTGCAGCTCTCCAATGCAGAGCATCCTTGCTGCTGTAGCCAGGCAGAACAGGCCGCAAGACGTGAAAAGAGAGACAGAGACGGATGAGGGAGGAGAGGTGCTAAGAGCAAGAGAAGGATTGGAGAGCGTGCGCTAGGCTGTGAAAGCAGGTGTTATAGCGGGTCACAGCGAGCAGCAGGTAATCTCACTGAGATAAGCAGTAGCATGACAGCCAGCCTTTAATTCCTCATGAGAGGTGGCACTGTGGCGTTATCACAGAGCCAGGTCCCAAATCCCTTTTGGAAAATAGATTTATAAAAAGCCGTAATGTTAAAGAGCGGACTGAGGATGCATTCTGACGAGGTGGGCAGAGAGCCGTCCTGCTCTGCACACACACCACGCACAAACGTGCACAGATCACAGCACTGCAGCTGCACCGCTCCGTAGTTATGATGGGGGGGATAAATATCAGCATGGGGCTCGGGATGTAAGAGCTATACTGAAGTGAGGGGAAGGAAACAACGAGATGTTAAAGAAAAGAAAAGAAAAGAAAGAGGAGGAGACGTCTAAGATATTGCACCTATCCAGGGGAGTGTTTGAAGGAGGAGGCATTATGAGAGTGTAAATTACACACCCTCCTCATCCCCTTAGGCTGCCGGTGCCTGGGTGAATAATATTAACCCAACAGCAGCGAGTGCTCCACACACACACACACACACACACACACACACACACACACACACACACACACACACACTGCTCATAATTTGCCTTAACGTCTGTCGCAAAAGTCTCCAATCATGTATCAGCCCAGCCTCGTCTCTCCTGAAATAATCTCAAATATTGACACACGACTCTTCTGGTTTATTTGGTGGACAACTGACGGCCAGTCGCGCACTTCAAACAAGTCAAAGATGGAAGGATAAAAAGGAATTAAATTCCCGATGTAACATCATGAAATGGACTGATTTTAAAGATCCCACAGGTCATACACAGCCATAGCAAATAACCCTGGCTGCTACATGTTCTGCTGTATCTTCCCTTGTCAGGAGTCTGTGAGTCTGCACAACTCAGCATTTTAATCAGATGACTTCATCAGCTGAGCGCAGCTTCATCAGATAATAAAGATGAACAGTAGCATTCCTTTCCCCAAGGTTCCTCACAAGAGAACTCCAGTTAAATGAATCTTTATTCCCAGAGAAAAGAAGATTTCATAATTAAAGTTATCATTTTATAATTCAAAATAATCATTGAAGAAAGAAGATTTTATGATTAAAAATCATTACATATTGCCATGTATAATTAACCTATGAAATGTTCAGGAATCTGTTTTCAGTGATGGTTTAGTATGTTTACAGGATGAGGTCATCATTACACCAGACAGAGAGTAAGGTGAAGATTAAAAATGCATGACACATAACTAACCTTGTCCCTAGACTCAGAGACTCTGCATCTCAGAGCGCATATTTCTGAGATTCTTGGTAAGTTTGGTCATAGATAACAGCGGGTATATAAACCAGCTGCTCTGCTTTCTCTGCGGTCGGGAGAGAAAGCTGGAGACTGGCCATCTCTTAGCAGATCTCTAGCTCAGAAAGATTTTGACACGCTGTCAAAACCTTAAAGCTTTTTGCACCTGCGAAGCTGAACAACAAGATAGTTTTCCTGCAGTACAAAGCTTACCCAAACTCCTTCAGAGTTGATTTCAAGACTCTTGGTTCCATTCATCTATCGTTGTGACCCGGAGGCATCTGAGGACTGATTTGGTCGCATCGAGGTTTCGCTACGAACCAGGTGCAGCGGGGTTGCCGGCTCCTGGACATCTCCGATCCAATCGGGGTCTCCAAATGGGTGAGGTAGACGCAACGAGATAGCGTCTGCGTGTGGTTCTGATAATAGCAACTAAATAGTTTAGATGCAAACCAAATTCTTTTATCCAGAACGCACGTCTCTGAAGGTACGGAGATTCTGATTCATCATCTCATGTTCACACATTGTTTTCAGACACCCATCTTTTAGTTCCATCCACTCACAGGATAATAGTTTAAACCATTTGTCAAAGTCTTAATTGTTTGCAAACACTGACTGGTTTTTGAATCATAAACGAAGTGTGAACGATCCCCTAATAATTAAAAGAATTCTAGAACCTTCTAATTAATCTTCCTAAGACCAAGCAAGGTGATATCATATAGAGTATTACAGCTATCGGTCACAAGTAATGAGAATAGAAATAAATAGCTTCCGTTGGTCTTCATGGCCATACGGGCCACTCCTCATGAGTCTACAGGTGTCTCCCCGTTTGAAATGATGACGGGTAGACAAATGACCCTGCCGCTTCACCTGCTGTATCAGTCAGGCCAGCCCAGTGCCACTCCGGCTTACACTAGCGAGCAGTATTTGCAGGACCTGAAAAACCATCAGCCTGCAGCGTTTTCTTTTGCACAGACAAATCTGGAGAAATCAGCTGAGGGCAGGAAGGCTTTTAATGATCAGAAGGCCTCACATTCTGAACTCAACGTGGGTGATGAGGCCTGGTTCTACATCTTTGCTCCTCATTCCGGTCACACAAAAACAACCTCTGGTAAACCGGCTAAGAAACTTTTGCCGAAGTGGTCAGGTCCATGCCTGATAACTGAAAACCTCTCTCCGGTCGTGTATCAGATCAAGATCACCGAAGGAAACAAAGACCCCATCTATAAGTGGGTCCACAGGAACCAAATCAAACCGCCCAAGGGTTCCACTAATCTCGATGATATTCCAGCCCAAGACTCTGATGACCCAACTAGCGTCGAACCAAAAGGGGGATGAATAACTCTCTCCTGTGCCATTTTTCTCTGTTTCAGGTTACACAAGATTGTTTGTGTTTGTGTGTATGCATGGTTGTATTTCCTGTCTATACATGACGTGCAGACGGAGTGACTTGGGATGGTCAAGCTGTGGGTTCCTGGAGTATTTAGATCACATTACTCTACTAGTTTACATTCCACCAGTTTAATGAGCTGTAGTTCAAATAGTAGTTTGCCTTTTCCCATCATTTCTCTGTGATTTCATATCTTACATAACTGCAAAAAACCCAGGATGTTATTTCTTTTAGGTGTTTAGCTGCTCTTGCCTCCAGAAAACACCAGATTGACTGAATCTGTACATATTTTTATCAAATCTTTTTTTTTTTTTTTTGGTTTTACTTCCTAAAATAAAATCTTCTGCTTATGTCCCACCAAGCAGTGGCGGCGATAGTTTTTAATGGTGAAAACAAGGAGTGTTTGGATAATTAAACGTGACTCATTGAGCTTGGAGAATTTAAAAATCGACGGGTTTCCGCTCAAGTTATTGGTCCAGATAATTAACAGATTCATGTCCAGAAATAAAAGATTGTTCAATAATAGGACATTTCTGGGATGACTGTCTTCTGTTATGTTAAACGCAACTTCTAGAGCGAGTTCTTGAGGTATTCTATCATTTATGAGGAGAGGGAGGTACTTACTGGAACCAGCCACTAGGTGGAGACCATCCTAACTTTAGCTTACATGATGCATTAGGCTAGAAAATGAAAAACTAAATAAACATGAATTATAACCTTACAGCTAACAGGGCGCCGGGCCCAGATGTAATCCATGTAAGGTCAGCTCCCTCCAAATAGAAGTGCAACAGCTTGAGTCAAGGCTCATTACTTCTTGGGATTAGACGGCGGGTAAATGGGGAGACTATCGTTATCCACCACTCTTCATCTCTTCCTCTTTCCTAACCCCCACCCCCATCAGGGTCGCTGCTCTAGGGAGAACTGCAAATACCTGCATCCTCCTCCTCACCTAAAGACTCAGTTGGAGATCAATGGAAGGAACAACCTCATCCAGCAGAAAAACATGGCCATGCTGGCCCAGCAGATGCAGCTGGCCAACGCCATGATCCCCGGCACGCAGCTACAACCGGTGGTGAGTGGACGCATCTTTCACAAATTTAAGGTTCCTGTATGTGCAAGTGCAAAGAGGAAGTCTACAAAAGTAATTCCAGTCACTGAAAGTGGTTTTTGCCAAAAATCGTGACGCAACAGCTGCTGGACATTATTTCTGATGTGGCTATTTTTGTTTTAACAAATCAAGCACATTGATATAAAAGAGTAACCAAAATAAACCAAAAATCTGAACAGTATTTGTCAGTTTGTCGTATATTTTGGTCAAAGTGAAGCTCGGTTTGTTTCTAATTTTGTTTTTCCCTCTTACCATTTTGATCTCCTTGGGCAAATATTTTCTTTTTATTTGACCCATCATTACTTTAGTAAGAAGCAGAGGGCGGCAATATGATGCCTGGCAGGCAACTTGGGGTCCAGCCTCTTGCCCAGGGACACGTTGACATGTGAGCTGCTGAGACTGGGGATTGAGCCTATGAACCTTGGATCATCGGACGACCGCTCTACCCGTTGAGCCACGGTTGCCGCTCACAACAGGCCACCATTAGACCCTTGACACTTGTTTCACACTGATTATAGCTCTTTGTTAAGTTCCTTCTGTGTTGCTTTGTCAGTTCCATTTTTCTTTGGCTCCTATACAAAGAGGAGTAAAAGCTCTGCTTTTACCTTTTTAGTTGACAGTTTCTGATCAAGGCGACAGACAGGAGGCAAAACTCAGCTTAACAACTTGCGTGGCTTGTGGCTAAACAACTCGCAGCTGCTCCTGATGAACATAACATCTATGATAGTTTCCAGTCAGGTTTTCGTAGAGCTCATTCTACTGAAACAGCTCGTCTTAGGGTCTCTAATGACCTTCTGACTCACAGTGAGGCAGGGGACTGTTTTGTTCCGGTCCTGCAGGACCTGACTGCACCCTTTGAAACTGTTGACCATCACTTGCTACTGGAGAGGCTGAGAGACTGGGTAGGCCTATCAGGAACTGCTCTTATCTGTCTGAGCGTTCCTTCTCTGTGGCCGTCTCCAAGTTTCTGTCCTCCTCCCTTCTTCGCCCATGGTGTCCCACAAGGTTCTGTGCTGGGACCTCTACTGTTCCTCCTCGAACTGCTTCCTCTTCAGCACATCCTGAGCTCCTTAAAAGGAATCTCCTACCATCTTTATGCAGATGATATCCAACTGTGCATTTCCTTTAAGCCCCATCAGATTTCTAAGCTGCAGCTGTTGCACACCTCCTTAGACTCTTATAAACTGGATGGCTGCTGCAGATTTTTTATTTGAACGCACGTTCACGTTCCTGAATACCATCTGCTTTACAATATAATGTCAACTGACGCAATTTTTTATCTGCATTTTTAGTTTATTGATTTTTTTGGTTAACTTTGGTGAAATATTGGATTTTAGTACTGAGGAGTGCTCAAAATTAAGATTCAAGAGGTGGTTAAATGCAATGTTCAAAAATGGATTCAGGTTCAGAAATGTGCATCCGTTGTTGTTATTTGTGACATTTTAGCAGAGAGTTAAGGCAAAAATCACATATCAGACCATGGCCTGTACGTAAAAGTAGAAAAACTCATATCGGTGCAATTCCATTTTACAGCATCCGTAGCTTTACGTTCTGCACATTTAAAGACATATTTGTGCACTTCGGCCAAATCTTAGAAACAATGGCTGAGATGAGAAGAACCAAGAGAAATTCCCAGAACTGCTGAGTCTTTTGTTTCTGCTTGTGTTACGATGAGAAAGTAAAGTGAAGTTAAGAGAGCAGGTGGAAGACAAGTTGACAGGGAAGGACACAGCAGAGGAAGAAGAGGAGGCATGAAGAGATAAAGGGCTAAAGAGCAAAGGCAGGCAGCTAAAGGGGAGGCGAAGGGACGACAGCAGACCTTTAGACCTGCCCTACAAAGACAAGTTAAAAGCGAGGACAAAAGAAGTGTCCAGGTGTGATCTTCTCCTTCCTCCATCAACTCCTTGTGTCTGCAGCCTCCTGCTTCCTTCTTTGGTTTAAAGGTTGTATGTTTTCTGCTGCTCTCCTACATCTGTCCCTCATCCTACATGTGCATAAAGAGGAGAGATTTCATTTCACGCATGGAACTGTGGCAAGGTGATACGGCTCCATTACATCTGGCTGCTCATGATTCTTATTATTAAAGGGTCGAATCAGCACATTGTCCACATTACACACTTTCACAGGACTGTATCACTTACTAATTCATTTCTTCACTTACTCTCATCTAAGAAGAAATTAATAAATAAAATTATCAAAGGATATTTCATTTGTTCATCTGCCACAAGATCTCACAGCTGAAATATAAAATCTGAACCGGTTCTGCAGAATTACACAGACGGTCCACAAAAAGGCAGAATGATGTCACTACATTGTTAAAACCTCATGACTGTGAGAGTTTTCAATGACATCATGTCTCTGGTCTCAACCTCGAGCTGTAAATATCTCAAACCCATTTCTGAGCGCTTTACTTTTCTCTTCAGATGCTTCGTTTTTAATGAACAGAAGAAACTGGAACGTTTACGACATCGTTTCCCATTTTCTGATTTAACACAGAGCAGTGAGAGGGTTTTAGAGGAACGTAGCTGTCCCGTTCCTGGCTGCTACCCCTCCTCTATTACTCACTGTGTCCTCTTGGCAAGGGTTCAGGAGACAATCCTCAGTCTGGGGCTGAGGTCAGGAACGTGTGAGGATTGCTTGCAGTGCGCTGCTTTGTCAGCTTGTGTACTCTTTAGCCTCCCTTTCTGAGAGCTGCAGAAGGAGACATAAGGTTTTCTCCTTTAAACTCCAGCTCGGCGTACAGAAGCAGAGCAGCTTCTTCCACGCAGCACAGCCTGACGTCCCTCATTAGCATCGCTGTAATTTGTGATCTCTGCTACACGAAGCACCCGATTGTAGCTGAGGGAAGAGAGTAGGTGATGTGACATGCTAACTATAGCTCTCGTTTTATTTTTAGTGCAGATATAAACAAAAAGATAACATTCTTACTTCATTCCCTCTGCAGCTATGGAGGCAGATTCTCCTTTGCCTACAAGCTTTTTCTATAATAGTTGTCATTAAATTTGGCGTTTCAATTGAGATTTGGTGTAAATGTAATAAATAACTATCAAAACTTACTTGTTGCTTCCTGAACAACCTCAGTTTGGGAAAACAGTGTCCTTTATGGCCGCCATCTTAACCCTTTAATGGCACTGAAAATCATTAAAATGCTATATTTACACTAGAGATGCCCGGTAATAGTGGTTTACCATGTATTGCCCAATATTGGCATTAAAATATAATATCGTCAAATATCGGTTACTTATTTATCAAACTTTTCAGCTACTTCTCTATTAAAATGTCTAAATATGACAGACCTGAGTTAGTTTTCAAGATACTTTAGTTTATTTGGCACAAATTGTTAAGAAATAGAAATTTGCCCTAGTGAACGTGTGCTGTCCTTGCGGCACGTGTAGCTAACTAGCTAGCGAACAACTCAAACACAAACGAGAATCTACACCCAAGGCTTGCTTTTCTTAACTGAAGATCTTTATAAAGGTTTTGTCACTGTAACTACAATACATAGAAAAAGAAAAAAGAAATTACTAACTAATACACACATCTTAGCATCATACTTAGCAACTAGTCTAGCTTAGCATGTGAACTAAGTAACACACAAACGTTTTCTAAACACAAGGAGAGTTACAAAGATGAATGTTCTTTATTGTTTAAGCATGCATGATAGGAAATATGTAATGTTAGAGAGCTAAAATAATTTTGTTTTTATTGTTTATGGGGGGCAGGGGGCATAGCATATGGTCAGTAATGGTATATCAGATACCGGCATAATATCGAACATCTCTAATGTCAACCACCGAATGTCACCGTGGGCCGTTTGAAAAATTCTTTAGAATTTTTAAAAAAGGTTTTCAACTTTCTAATTCTTTAAATTTCACATTTTAAACTATATTTTCACTTGAAAGTTTCTGATTTATGCTGACTCACTTGCTCTATACAGGGTTAAAGCAGGTCAAAAATTCTTTTATAAACCTTTAAACAACCATCAGTTTCACATCACATAGTTCTTTACTTGTTGTGTAGAAGTGTAAACACCACCAAAAGCAATTTGTAAGGCTTCCAGTGTGCCCCAGGGTGACGTCCAGAGTGACATATTTAATATTTCTACCCAAATATTAACCTTTTCATGCATGTCTTCATGTCTGGGTGTTACAATTGTTATCATAAATCATGAAAAGACATGTAGATTTTATACTGAAAAGCCTTAAAATGGCAAAGAAAAATCCCTTTAAGTGCAAAACCAATGCTGTGAGGTCGTTTTGTTGGATTTTGACAGCCTATGGTTTCTGCTTGTGCTCTGCAGCCAATGTTTTCAGTCACACCCAGCCTTGCCACCAACGCCAATGCTGCTGCCGCTGCAGCAGCGGCCGCTGCATTTAACCCCTACCTTGGCCCCGTGTCGCCTGGCCTAATGCCCGCTGACATCTTGCCCTCTACTCCTGTCCTGGTCACCAGCAACCCCAGCGTTCCTGTCCCCGCTGCTGCTGCACAGAAACTCATGAGGACAGACAGACTGGAGGTAAGACACACACGAACCCCCCCCCCCCCCCCACGAAGAATCTCTCTTCGACGATCACACAGATTTGTATAATTGGTTTGTTAGTTCCAAACCATTCACTGATTAAAGGCACGGATTAAGAAACCTCTAGTAAATGCATCTTTTATTCTCTAAACTGTACAAACTAACAGAGCTTTGGCATGTGGACCGTGTCTGAATATTAAAGGCACGGAGCTGCAGCCTCCTGCCTCAACAGTTTCTGTTTGTAGTCCCTAATTGCATGTCTGGTACACAGATTCTGCCACAGCAGCTACATATTATTAGCACAACTCAGTCATCAGCCTGACTAAAGCAGACAGACGTAGTAATGAGATTACCTCTTTACAAACATCGTCCTCATCAACAGGCGAAAGACAACACGGTTTGGCACAAATTCAAGTTTTATTTTGTTTGTTTTTCTTAAATCTTTCCTTCTGAAACCTGATGAGCGCCCCTCCCCTCGCCTGCTAATTGGACAGTAAGTCAATCTCATCCATTATGTAGCTGCGCTCGGGAAACACTCGCAGCGGCATAATGGGGAAATCGTTGGAGGCAGGCAGGAGGCGTGCAGGATCGTTGGGAAGGCTGCATTTAAGCCGTAATGTTTGGTAGCCGGGGTAACGCGGTGAAGGAGGGAACGACATGCAGCGCGAGGGAATGGGTTAATGACGGGAAAGAGAAATGCAAAGGGGCAAGGGATTGGAAATCAATCTGTGGACCTGTTGTGGTCATCAGAGGAGGGATGGGGCAAGGAGACAAAAGAAGATGGGAGTACAGGAAATGGTCATGATTGGGTTTCAGACAAGAAGAAGTTGTTAGTAGAGGTGCACGTGCCTCGGTTCAAACTGAGGAGTAAAACAGTTGTCTGGTTAAAGATTGAGTCTTTAGTGTAAGATCTGATAGACCCAGAACAGGAGGTGAAATATTCATGAGCCTAATGCAAAAATAATCTGCTCAGTGGTTGTTTGTCCACTCGGGGCTGGTGCTTAACTTCCTTCATTTGGAAAAAAGTGAAACCGAGACTCTTTATTTTCCTTTTTGGAGCAAGGTTTGCTAGAAATACCGAGAGGAAAGTGCCTGGCATATTTCAGCTTCAAGTGGGTGTCATTCAGAGTAAGCACAGGGAATTCTGCAGACAGACACACATACCAGTCGGATAAGCTACGGACAGCCCAGAACTCCTGAATCCTGCTCATGGATTCATTTAGAAATATTTCTGTGTTCGTTTCTTTTGTTTTGTTGTTTTATTTAATGTTTTATTATTTTCTGCAGCATCTCTGCACGCCTTAAATCATACGTTGCTCACCTGCGGTTGTGGCGATTTAAATACCCTTGAGGGACAGTTTCCGTGGAAACACGATTAAAAAAAGTGCTCTTTATCCGCTTGACCAGTAAATTCCTTTTAGTGTTTAACTTAATGTACAACTTAAATAAAATGTGCACACCTGCGGGCCCCCCGGGTGTCTAATCGCTGCCGTTAAATCGTTTCCTGCTTGTCTAATTTACGCATAACCTCTGTCTCCTCCATCCCCATCTGTCAGTCCTCTTCTCTTTATTCATCAACCATGCTAATATCTTCTGTTTTTTCTCCCTCCCTCGCCCCACTCGCCAACATCTGCCTAACAACAAGGCCATCTCTCTCCCAGCATCAGTGACAATGGGAGCAGGAGGAGGGAAACAAATACCTCTTGTAGCTTCCTGATGATCTGTGTTAATAGTGAGAGGGGCGTACTAAACAGAGATAACCCCACCTCAGTCCTCACACCGAGCAGAGATGGTGAATGATCAGCTGTCCTGTCAGAAGCAGAGCTGATGACTTTTCGTCTGGTGGCTCCTCTTCATCAAAATCAGCTTTCTTGCTGCGTGAAGACAGCAAGACTGATAAACCGGCCTGGCTACTTCCCTCACAGTAACTTATGGGTCAACTTATCATAAAAATGGACTTTATTAGGCGAGGAATTGCATTTGAAATGCAGAAACACGCTGGCAAGTCGAGAAGAAGTGATGCTGCCTCATTATTAATGTGCACACAGCTTTGTGTTTTTTATTTTTACGATGCGTGTTCTGGTTATTGCGTCAGCTAAAGTCTCCCTTCAGAGTAACCAGCCTCTTATTTCCCACGGGCCTCACTAAACCAACAGGATCATGCTCAGTTTCCAACTGCTCATGCAGGTGCTGCCCCCTTCTGTTGATGAGATGGAATGCAACGCTGGATTTAACCCTTTGGTGCATGAATTATGAAATCTTCAAACATGATTTATTTAACTTTTTTTAATTCATCTTTAGGTGTGAATGAAAAAAATGTCAACAAATATGTTTATAACATTTAATAATTTACAAAAACTGTATTACGTGTCCACCTCAGTGGACAGCGTGCATTCTGAACATGAAATGTGTTGGCTTGACTTACTGAAGTCCAAATGGAGGGGCTCAAATGCAAGAAAGTCTTCAACAGCTGTGCTTAGTAGCAAAAAAAAAAAAAACAATTTTGAGTTCCTGTCCACTGTAGTGACCATTATGCATCAAAGGGTTAATGATAATGATGCGCATTTTGTGACTGAATTGCTGGTAAACATTGATTTTCCCGTGACTCTACGGGGGCACATGTCCACGTGAATGTAAATGGTAAATGGCCTGTATTTGATATAGTACCTTCTAGAGTCCTGTAACCCCCCAAGGCGCTTTACAACACAGTCATTCACCCATTCACACATTCACACACTGATGGTGATGAGCTACGATGTAGCCACAGCTGCCCTGGGGCGCACTGACAGAGGCGAGGCTGCCGAGCACAGGTGCCACCGGTCCCTCCGACCACCACCAGCAGGCAACGTGGGTTAAGTGTCTTGCCCAAGGACACAACGACAGCGACAGACTGAGCCGGGCTCGAACCTGCAACCTTCTGATTACGGGGCGAACACTTAACTCCTGTGCCATCGTCGCCCCAGCTCAGCTCAAAAGTACCTGCTGTTTTGTTTGTGATCCAGGTTTGCCGGGAATACCAGCGAGGCAACTGCACACGCGGGGAGAACGATTGTCGCTTTGCCCACCCGGCAGACAGCACTATGATTGACACCAACGACAACACAGTCACTGTGTGTATGGACTACATAAAGGGCCGCTGTTCGAGGGAGAAGTGCAAATACTTTCACCCCCCAGCTCATCTGCAGGCCAAAATCAAAGCCGCCCAACACCAAGTCAACCAGGCGGCTGCTGCGGCGGCCTTGGTAGGTACCGGTCCACCGTTTGCAAGATCAACAAAGAAACACCTTAGATTATCACACTTCTCTGTTTTAGATTCAAACCACTTAAATGGACCGTTTGTGTGAGCTTCATTGGGAGCAGGCTAGTTTGTGACTGAGCTTCCTGCTCCTCTTTTTTGCTTGTTTTGCTGCTTTGTTAGTTGTATAATTTGCTGTTCAGTCAATATTTAGCCTGCACTAAAAAAAATATTTGCTGAGAAGGCAACTGTGCAGAGACCACTGTTCAGTTTAATCTTGTTCCTGCAGTGCAGCGATTGCTCTCTCAGGGGACACATTAAGGCTCTGTTCGGCTAAATCCTGCAGATGACATTGTGTCACAGGTAATCGAGACAAGAGGATTAGCTAGTAACACACAAATTCAGATTATTCAGGTAATCTAAACTAAGCCTTTCTCCACTTTATTAATATTGAGTCCGTCTATATCCTTCGATTCAAGTGTTACTGGATTAAATCCAAGCTGAAATGTCATTTAAAAGTTATTTACATCCTGTGTTCAGATTACACTTTAGTGTTGCGCAAGCTTAGAAAAGTAAAGTAAACCAACAAAATAACAGGGTAAAAAATTACACAATATTTACAAGTTTGCCTAATTAAATTATATATGTATGTATCTGAATAAGTGAATGTGATATTATGGCGCTATTCTTTACGTAGCTCAAATAAAGCAACCATCTTTTGTTAACTAGTTGGGGAGCATCAGAATTTTGTCTTTCTAGTTGTCCAACAGTGGTGTAATGTTAAAAAGCTTCAGCAGCGTCAAACAAAACTGAAAACAGGAGCAGAACGTCTTGGTTTTAATGTTTCGAAGTCAAACTTTTTAATGTAGGCCCAGAAAACATGACTTTGTCCCCCAGAAGCACAGAAATTCGGCTTAGCCTTTCAAAGCAGCTTGTTCAAGGAGGCACGTTTTAACCTGAATTGAACAGGCGTGGTCACATGAGGCCCATTTCCACTAATGGAAGTTCTGGGTAATTTCAATGGACCGTCACAGCCTGCGCGTCTCCGTTTTACCAGACCGGCCAAAAAGGACCACATTCTGGGCCATTTCAACAACCAGCCATGGACCTGCCTTGGCGTCTGTACTGCGAAGCGATGCTGTAGAGTTGCAGGGCGGGGCTTGTGGTCAACTCATGCCGATTGGTTGTACGCCAGTAGGAAATGGCATCGGTAGACGTTTCCAAACAGCCGGCATTTGTAAAATTGGTAAAGCTGCCGGTGAAGCAGAATGCAAAGAAAAGGAAATGAGTAGCATTGATGCAGCTTTAAAAGTTTAATTTCTTAACTCACTATACCAAAGATAAATGTACGCTGCTTTGTGGTCTCCAACAGCGCTGCGTTAAAATACCTCTTGTGGTCATCGAATGCCCTCTTTACATCACACAGATGCTCTACTGATCCCGTGAACGGATTAAAATATGGCGTGATTTAATAAAGAATAACTTTTTATTGTTGTTAAAGCTGCAATAGCTAATTTGTTTAAAAGATTTATTTCCATGCCTCTGAACTACATTATAACACAGTACAGCTATATATATATATATATATATATATATATATATATATATAGTAAGTAACTAAGTAAGTCAAAGTTTATTTATTTAGCGCCTTTCACAGATATAAATCACAAAGCGCTGAGTGTATATAGTGTATATATAGTATATATATAGTGTATTTGTACATTGACACGGCTTAGAGGACAGTGTAGTTTCTATGCCCCCCCCAACCCCAACCCCCAGGAATTTCCCAGAACTCCTTTAATGGAAACATGGCAATAGAGAACCTTCCTCTCTGACCTTGTGCCTCATTTAAAGTAGTAATTTATTGAAATTTTATTCTCCTCCAACAACCAGACTTCTTTTCAGTAACCCTATGTGCATGCCCTAGTCTTGTAAGTGGTGAATACTGCATTCCAATGATTTTGTTTTTTATTTGTTTGTTTTTCAACCCACACTGCACTGCTGCCTCCCCCATGATGCACCTCTGCTTGCTGGTTTATGTTATTGCGCTTGAATCCCATTGGCCCATTGCCATCATGTGCTCGCTGCCTGCTAATTAAGACTCAGTCGGCTGTCAAATCACTGAAGCGACCCTTCAACTCAACTTTTGACCCGGTACTATGACCTTTCACCTTTTAGCTTGGCATGTAGCCATGGTGTGATACATACATGTGAATGATGTAGTTAACTGACCTGAACTGAGGGAACGCTGAGTGCCAATGAACTGACTGCAGTACATGGTTTTTCCATAAAGGATTTTACTGCACCTTGATTTTAAATCAAGTAAGTGTCTTAAATAATAAACTTATGTCTTCACGCCAGTTCATCGCCCTTGGCGAGCCTTCACAGTTACCCTTGGGGAATATTTTAGCATCTAAAAACATAAAGGATGGTAGCCTTTGCATGTTTTTGTCCCTTCCCATACTGCATGAGTAATATTTTTAGAGTTGTCATCTTAATGTGGCTGATAGTGGAGCTGGCAGTGCAGCTTTCTCTTACTACATCACCTCTATTGATGGTCTAACTTCTTGTATCATCAGCGTTTTATTTATAAGAGACAGTCCTTATCCTGTATGGTAATTTACAATTTTGTTAGCTTAAAATAATGTAGGATATTTTTAATACAATGTGGTGTGTCTAGCTAGATACAAGTCCCATTTTGTCAGCTAGCTTCCCTCTCCTGCTCTGACAGCTGTAATGTGGTCCTGTGTTATTAGAGGTAACATTATGGTGAAGGGCGAATTTGTGTCCTAATGGGATTCTTTGTTTTCTCTGTTGTAAATGTCACCGACACCATCCTTTTGTTTCCCCCTCACTCCCATCCTTTATTTTGGTGGCGTTCCCCTTATCAGGGGCTCCCTCCTGTCTTGCCTCCTTTACCAAAGAGACCTGCACTTGAAAAAGCCAATGGTGCCAACTCTATGTTCAATGCTGGTGTATTCCAGTACCAACAGGCCCTGGCCAACATGCAGTTTCAGCAGCAGGCTGCCTTCATACCGTCAGGTGAGGCTTTGATCTTCCTTAATCCATCTACAACTGCCCGTCACACGATGTGTTTTTCACTCCCTGGTTTATGTTTTGCTACCACCAGAGAATGGCTCTTTGTGTTTATTTGTAAGAACTTGCATGAAACTGGTTGTATAAACGCAAGATTGTTAATTTTGGTGGAAGGTGCAGAAAAAATTAGGTCAGAAGTTTTTCAAGGATCTGTTACCTGTTGTTGACGCTACAGTTTCGCCGACGGCTGCCGGATTCTTCAGGCTGACGCTGATGGTGGCGCGTCACTTCCTTCTCCGTTTATCTGCGGGCAGCAGAGGACGTTGTCGCCCTCTACTGCCCGCTCTCCCCTCTCCGACGATGCAGTCCCATGCGTGGTCCAGCGTGTAAACTCCGTCGTCCCTGTTCATGGTCCCACATCCACGTCTCGTTATCTCGATTGCTTCCTAGATCCATCTTTTGTATTTTTGTTGTTCGGTGGTTATGATCCGTGTGTTGAAATCGAAAACACACAAGAGCAGCAAAATAAGAAGCAGAAAGTACAATAAAAAAAGTCAGCCGTAACAGATCATTGCTTAAGAGAAAACCATATAATGGACTGGGACAGCACACGGATCATAACCACTGAACAACAAAAATACAAAAGATGGATCAAGGGAGCAATCGAGATAAGGAGACGTGGATGTGGGACCATGAACAGGGACGACGGAGTTTACACGCTGGACCACGCATGGGACTGCATCGTCGGAGAGGGGAGAGCGGGCAGTAGAGGGCGACGACGTCCTCTGCTGCCCGCAGATAAACGGAGAAGGAAGTGACGCACCACCATCAGCGTCAGCCTGAAGAAGCCGGCAGCCGTCGGCGAAACTGTAGCGTCAATAACAGGTAACAAAACTGTTTCTGTGTTTTAAAAAAGAACGACAACATGGAATTAGAAATAACGCACAGCAAGAACACACCAAGGATTTTCAAGGATCTGCTCTGAGAGTTGGTTCGCGCACCTTCAAGCGCTTGATGTATCGTGTTCAAAAATCAGAGCATCAGATAATCAGAGCAGCCAGAGTTTCCAACATCCGGATGAGGAACAGATGTCACCGTTTGGCAAAAAAATATTTAAAAGAATCGATTGGGGACTTTAAAAGAGTCATCTTAAAATCAAGGAGGATGCATCCTCTTGATACAGCAATCCTCCCCTGGAGAATGTGCGTGTATACGATGCTCAAAGACACATAGACAAGGACAGCTTATTTGAAGTACTCTTCTTGGGGCACTGCAGAGTCATCTTACACTGTGGCCAGTATTCTCACCCGACAGCCTAAGAATAGCCTGCCATCGATTCCCCGCAGTTCATCATACAGTAGGTCTCACTTTACTGGGCTGTCAGGTCACTACAACACACATAAGGGATTCAAAAAGGAGGTCATTCAAATGTTTCATGGCACAAACGATTGCTGATGGGAAATCGAGGCCACAGATAAAGTTTCATTTGTATGTTTTGGATCAGATTACCAGTTAACTCATGGAATTACTTGTGCCGCTTACGATGATGTGCTCAGAGAACTGTTTGCTTACATCGAAGATCATTTCAGTTTTGTCTGACTCTGTTACACTTTTTCCCCTTCCCCCCTAATCACTCTGATCGATTGTTGCAATGCATGATGGGCAGGCTCGATATTGTGCATGACACCTGCAACAAGTGTTGGTAGGTGCAAGCTTTCCCTAATTATCTTTGAGTATATCTTGGTCTCTCTTGTCTCATTTAACTCATGTGATACAAGCACATTTGTCACTTTGCAAATTTTGAATTTGAACTAAAACAGGGACATCCGATCTCTTTTGGGCTAATAAAACTTAAATTGCACTCTAATTTTGTAGCTTCCATTGGAAATGTTTTGTCATAGCTGTCATTCAGTGTTTTTTTCTTTTCGCCCTGCCGTTCGCCAGTCACCTAATGCTTGTTGCAGTTCAAAATCCCCCTGCTTCATCATACGTCCATCTCGAGCTCTCTAACCTCTCTAGCTCCTCGTTTAACTGTCTCGTTAGACATGCCATGTACGCATGAGTCGATGTTTATTGGTGCAAAGAAGCGGTAGAGGTAATATTTCTATTTGCTGGAGAAGGTTCTCAGTCATCCAGGTCATGGTAATTCAAAAGGGTTCTACTGAAGGTAAATGGACTTCTTTGGTGTCTTGGAGATATTTTGCTTCTCATCCGAGGACCTTTGTTAATTCTGACTGGAATATGAGTGAGTCAAGCTTATAAACTAGCTGTCTGTTGTTTCTTAAGGAGCTGAAACTACATATGAATACCCCTCCTTCCTGCCCCTTGATGGGGGGGGGGGGGGGGGGGTTACCTAGACTGAAACTGTTTTTAGAATTAGGTTTAGCGCTGCATTACTGTGCTGGAAAAGTGAAACCTGAGGTTTTCTCTATTTAATGTCGGCCTTTCTCTTTTGACATAGAGGGCTTCATTTACTCCTCTCTCAAACCATCTATCCTCTGTCCAGAATGTGTACTTTGTCATCTTCAATTCAATTCAAAAATACTTTATTAATCCCAGAGGGAAATTGAAATTGATTCAGAAGTGTGTCCCTTGTCCTTCAGGTGTAAAAGGACCGCAGAGTCTTCCTCTGCAGAGGTGGCTCTGCTGTGTTGTGCCATGTGCTTGTGTAGTTGCTGTTCAAGCTTGGTTTATGCTTGGTGATGCGGCTCGCGGATGGAACGCGCTTCACAACTCGCAGCGTTTATGGTTCATGCAGCTTGTCTCTGCGGTGAGCCAATATTCTCCCAAACTGTAGGGGGCAGCATGGAGCTCTACGGCATGCATCCAACACTACACCATGGTAGAAGTAGAAATTACTGTTGTTTATAACAGTTGTTAATGAAAGTTGAGAGCCAACTCAGCTCTTTTAGAATTGGTGGAGTGTTCTTGTTTCCACCATGATCACCGCTTTTCCCTTTGTTCCCCTTCCTTGCCTCCACATATCGGCCCCTCATGTTTTTCCAGCATTTTTTAACAGCGTCCTCATCTTTTCCGACAGTGCGAGCTATTTCTCTCCAAGAATTATTAACAACATGTTGATCACGGTGATCTTTGAGAGCTGAATCATACAAATGTCTGTATTTACAAACCTCTGCCATACTAGTTCTTGCCAGTCCGCCATGTTTTCCGTGTTTGACCGTCCGCGTGGTTGGTGCGGAAAGTTTGGGCCGTGCGGAAGCCAGGTGGAGGGGCGTGGTTGTTAAAATGACACAATTTTGCCGCGCGGAGCCGTGCGAACCTCGTGGACGCGTCAAGCATAAACGAAGCTTTAGTTTCCCCAATGTAAAGGTCAGAACAGCCCTCACTGCATTGGACTGCATAGAAGACACCACTAAGAAACAATAGATGGCTACAAGCTCGGCTCTCAACTATCCCATATTCTAGTCAGAACTGGCAAAGCTCCTCAGGTGAAAACCAAAACAACTGGAAGAAACCAAAGAAGTCCAGTTGCCCTTCCTTTGAACCCTTTGAAGTAGTATTTTGATTGATCCTTTTTGCATTTTTTGTCATGTGAATCAAAGCTACGTATTTTATGCAGCCTAAGGTTGTGAGCCTATTCCAACTCGTAGAGAGCATTGGAAAGTCTATCAAAGCAAGATTCAGAACATTTCCACTCAAAATGAGTTTTTTCCACCCTTCATAGCTGCCATTAACTGTTTTTTTACTCAAATTAATGTAGAGTAGATGTAAAGGAAGGTGGCTTGGTTCTCAGTCACCAGGAAAAGGCTCGTAGAAACGCCCCCAGCGCCACTCAACTATTCCTAAAAGGAGCAAAAACCAAACATTATTCATTTTGGAACTTCGAGGAAAAAAATGTTAATAGCATCATCTCTCATGTTTATCAGCAGCCTACATACAGACATGAAAAGGATGTAAAAAAAAAAAACCTTCTCTGGTTCAAATGCCTGTCTGATCTTTCCTTCAAGTACCCATGATGCACGGTGCCTCTCCAGCCACTGTGTCTGCAGCCACCACATCTGCCACAAGTGTTCCCTTTGCAACAGCATCAGCCAATCAGGTTTGCTTCTCTCCTGCTTCTTCACTCTCTTCTTCACATCCGGTATGAGCTCCTGCTCTAGTGTGTTGTATTAATGACATTATTCTGACGTGGCTCCTGATGAAAAATGCATGAAAAGCGAACTCGGCTCGTCCCTAGTCTCTGCTGGATGTCTGGACATCAGGTGTTACCTTCAACATCAGGTTGCTGGTTGCAGTGCCCTTTCTGCTTTCATTAGATCCATCTGTTTATTTCACTGTATTCATTCACCGCCTTCCCCCTCCCTTTCTGTGTCTCCTTTCAATCAGATTCCAATAATATCTGCAGACCACCTGACTAGTCACAAGTATGTGACCCAGATGTAGGAGTCTCGGGCAGAAACGTATGTACGGCTTCCTTTCTCAGCATTGCACATGCTCTCTCTCTCTCACACACACACACACACACACACACACACACACACACCCACACACACACACACACACACACCCATGTTAGGATTTTGTATTGACTTCCATTCATTTTAGTGGGTCCTCTATGCCTAACCCAAACCCTTACCCTAACCCTAACCAGTGTATTCCTAAAGTTATCTGTAACAAAAACTCAATTCACATCTCATCTGTAAACCTCACCCCTAGGGAGTACTCCATATTAGGACCGGGTTTTGGTCCTAACAAGGACCATCGGTCGTAAAAAGGTTAGTAAATATCCCAAATCCAGTCTTCACAAAGGTACAAATACAAGCACACACACACACGCGCGCACACACACACACACACACACACACACACACACACACACACACACACACACACACACACACACACACGCACACGCAGTCTGAATAAACTGTCTCAAATGTGATTGGTGGGATGGTCTAAACCTGCAGTTCCAAACCCTTTTACTTGAGGAGCCCCCTACCAGTGTCCAACATAAGTCAGAACCCCCAACCACAACTTCTACCAGCAGACACACACTTAAAGTTATTAAAGAGCATGTCACCCCCTAACAGAGTTTTACTTCACTCCTACTTCCTGTTTGACAAACACAATAAATGTTGTTGTCTGGCAGACTAAGAGGGCGGAGCCGCTAACAAATACACACACACACTGGCTCACAATGACATTGTGACATCATGATGTACCAGCTAACATTATAGTGTACCTCTTAGCCAATAGCGATTAAATTCAAATGCAGTGCAGAGTTTTTACCTGGAGACGGCACAACACTGACAGTTTTAGGCAGAATATTTAAATATCAACTAAAATGCACTAAAGGGCCAAATTATTGAATACACGTGTCTACAGCACAAGTAGACACTCACTTATGTAGTTTATCAGCAAACAAGTTGGTTTGGGGGTGACTTGCTCTTTAATTAAAAGCTTTAAACGGCTACACAGAACTTTAATTATACCCTTAAGTGTGTTATTGAGATTTTATAAATGTACTGATTTTTTCATAAACTTCACAAATTGCCCAAATAATTATAGTCAATGTTATGAAAGGTTTCCCTCAGCAAGATGCTTTTCCAGATAAGACTTAAACGTTCTTATTAAAGATAGAACATGAACACTAAAGCGACATCTAGTGTGTGGAGGTTGTAGTTGCAACCACAGAACAAGGTGTCCAGCCGTCGGAATACCAGATCTACTGCTGATATGTGAAATGTTTTATTTGGGTCAATCTGTTCAGGTTTCCCCTAAACCGACTCTGGTTTTAGATCTTTCATGGTCGCTCCTCTTCTGATAAGGATGGGGTGCAAAAGCAGCTGCTCGACATGCCGAGTTCGTAGTTTTCCAGTACCAGCCTCGCTGTGCCGAGCGGACTGTCTGGGGCCCTCTATTGGCTGGTAGACGTAAACATAAACCCAGTGTCATGCCTGTCAAAATTAATGTATATTTTTATTTATTAAAATATAGCTTTTAAAGGAAATACTGTACCGCACACCTCTAAACCCCCCCCATGAAGGTATTGTTTTTAAACATATGGCTTTTTATTAAATTGTTCCATATTAAACCTTCAACTGTAGCTTTGAAAAAATGTTATGAAAAAAATCACACTAACAGAAAATGTGCTTTAGTGTCTTTTATACGCATTTTTATTTATTTGTTCATTGGACAGTCATTGTCAACTAGTAGTTTTATCTTGTCCATCACATGTAATCTGGTGTGTTTTGTTCATCTGTCCAGACGAAACTGGAGTGGGCTGGTGTCGAGTGCAAGATTAGTGGTCATCTTTCACTCGAAAGGACGAAACAGAAAACCAGATCTGGTCCGGTATGGAAAATGTCTGCATGATAAAAGAGGAAGAACAGCTGGTCAGAAAGGTTTTCATGTGGTGTTCATGCACACCATCACACAACAACAGAAAATAACATAATTGTATTAAAGACTTTCATTCTGCAGAGGCGACTAACTTTTGTTCACCAGACACATTTTGAATGTTAGCAGTCGTCAGAAAGGCCAACTACATCGGTACGTTCATGAATCATGACTTGTGTAGTTAGTTCGTTCATTTGGTTGTCGGTCTTTGACCTAAACGTGTTCATTTGTTTACACACAGGTGCACCTTGTGTTTCAGCTGAGGTTAGCGAGAGAAAAAACATAAATATGACTGATATGCATGCACAATTATTTCCTTTTCTTTAAGTATTCTTTTTTTAACAGTGATAAGGGAATTTAGCTGAGTGTACTCAGAGACAAAACAGCAATTGAATGTCTGTGAGGTGTCTTTGAAACCTCTGTAGCCTATCTTTCTATGTCTTAAGCACATGTTCCTGTAACGTGCCATACATCTCAAAAATATCATATTCCACTAGTGTTAAACTCGACGGTTCCCTTTAATACATCCATCATTTTACTTGGACAGCATGCTATGTCCAGTCTCAACACCTGCTGTTTGCATCACTGATGATTAGAAAAAGTTCTGCAAAATTCCTGCTGGCTGAATAACGTACGTCTGATATTTTCTTTGACTTTGTTGTCCATGTAGACGTGAAATGACCGGATCCGGATCTCTACTTGAGCCCTCTTCACACTAGAATCCTGCTCTTCCCCCTACGATCCATTAAATCATGGCTGAATTGCAGCACAGTACTTGTGCCCTAAAGTCTTGGAACACATCAAGAAATAGCTAGAAGATCAAATCACAAAAAATAGAGTTCGTGGAGTGTTAAAATGATTAAATTTTGCCTCATTTGAAATGCAAATATCTTTATGATTGTATAGAAGACGACTGAAAACAAAATGAACACCTGTTAAAGTTACATTTGAATATCAGTAACAGGAAGTGCAGAATATTGATGCTCATGGGCAGTTATGAAAACAAGATGAAGAAACATAATTCAAACGAAAACAAAACAAGTTTCCCCTATTGGCTGGTTGCAGTATAGGTTTTAAGTCCCGCCCCCTCTATGAAAATTAATTGAAACGTTTTATTAACTAAACAATAATTATTCTCTAGGTGTTCATTTCCATTTTCTCCTAATACAATGGTTCTGTGTTGATTGTTCCACTGGATACCAGATCGGCTCGGGGGAGGATGACATCACACTAATGCCAACGCCACTACACTAAAATCAGTATCAACCTCTACCAACAAACGCCTCTCAAAATGTTTAATATGTGCGTTTCCATGTATTTATTTAACTAAAACACTTAGCTGTTTGTATAAGTGCAGAATTTTTCTGAATAGTTCATTTGTCCTTATGTTGTATACTGGCTATTTGTTCAATATTAATTTAAAATTGCACCCCATTTCATAAGAATGCCCCAAACTGAGTTTGAGGTTCGAGTTCATAGAAAACTTTATTTATGGTGTACAGTGTGAGATTATTTATTAGACCAATTACATCATGTGCTAACATGGCTCCCGTAACTTGTCCGCTCCGATTAACCTTCAACGTTAACTTGGTAATGTAACTTCTGCAATTTTTTGAGCTAACGTCCAACCAATCATAGTGTGACACCAAACACAGGCGCAGGCTCCCGAGGCAATCTGGTAACCCGAAAACATCTGGTACAGACACTGCAAAGACAACATGGCCTATTAGCAAAACAATTTGCCTTCGCCCTCATTCGGATGTAAATGGAGACATGTCAGCCATCTTTATTTGTCAATATCGATGGGCCTGTCCAACTGCAAATTCTCTATGGCCAAGCCACATTGGTGTATGCAGGACCCTATTTCACGAATATGCTGCCATCTGGACTCTGGTTCTCTGCCATGCAATACACTTTTGAGCATTCTCAAAAAAATTTTTTGGATCAATCAATCTTTATTATCTTCACCATGAACTTGATGCAAAACTCTTGCAAAAGCAGAGCGTTCCACTATAATCCAGTCTGAAGAGGGCCTGAGAGAGATTTGTCTGTCCATCCAATAAGTCACGAGATGTGTGATCGCGTGTGTGGCCTGTGCAAGAAACCAAACACTCCTTCTGTCTTTGTGATGAAGAGCTTTGTAGCCCCAGGGCGATCAGTCTGAGTCTAAACTGCTGTGAGGCCAAACTGAAAATCTGCAGAGCAACTGCTGACGGTGGTGTGATACGCGAGACATGATTAGTTGTTTGTTTTTATTTGTATGGATATGCATATTGTAAGGCAGGTTGTCAACGACGTTTTAGTGTTGTGTGTGTATATATAGTCCCACATTTTTAAGAGTATTTGTTTATTACCTGAGAACAGTTTTTTCGGATAGTCAGCCAAAGTTCTATAGTGTCACTGTTAATAGCTGTTATGGGTAGACTGTAGAGGGCTGGATTTGTTTTATTAAACGCCCCCAACAATGAAGGTTTGGATGTTTAGAGTAGATCTCTTTGTTTCCGTTGTGTTCCGAGTGTTCTTGAGTCAATAATTAGTGGATAGTCCAGGTCAAAGTGGTGGCGGGGAGGGGGAATGATCAACGATTGTATTACTCATCCAAAGCCTTAGAACGTACCATCGGGTCAGCACAATGCAACATGCCATTTTAAAATCGGCTGCCTAATTCACGTCATGTAAACACTCACAGAGCACTATGTGATCGTCACTTTCTGTGTCCGTGTTTTCTTAACCTTGTAGTTTTCTTGTTTGTTTGTTTTTTTTTTGCTGAAAAAAAATGTTTGAATTGAGTTTGTTCAGAAAAAACTTTGATATTAGTTCCTATTTTTAGTTTTACTGATGATATTTATCTTCATAATAATGAGTATAAGGTACTGTGTATGTGTGTTTGTGTGTTCTCCATTCACAGTTCCATGTAATGTTCCTTTTTAGTATGATTATGATTGTAAACTTTATGCATATTGTTGAACCGTATGCATATTGGTAATTTCTTCAGTCTTGTTTGTGTTCTTTGAACAACGGATGTTTTATATGAGTATCTACCAATAATGATTCAATAGAACAGAAAGGCTGAGTTGTCACTGTGACAACTACCGCCGATACCTGAGTAATATTTTAATGATTGTAAGGTTTGTAACTCGTCCTATAAGGCAAAAAAAAAAGATACTACAAAAACATAGTTCTTAGATGTTCAGAGTAAAATATGTTATTTTCTACTGTATCCATTTCAGTTATTGTTGATAATATTAATAATAATAATAATGATGATGATAATAATGATAATAACTATTGTTTTAATATTTCTACTCTCCCTGGAAATTGGGCCATGTTGGAAAGCAAGCTGCATATTTAATCACTTTTACGGGCGTAGCTGGCGAGGCGACGGTAGTGAGTTGGGATCGGGGTCTTAGTACTGGTCTAACTCCACCAACAGCAAACAGCGAGGGTGGGGGTGGGGAAATCAGAGGCGATGCAGGTGATAGCCGTCGACTTTTTTGCACTTCTGTACATAGTCAAACAACTAAGAGAGAATCATGTATATTGAGATCTTATTTTGAATAAAAAAAAAGATTATCTCTATGACGACAAGGAATTTTGCTAGGACAACAAAAATAATTCTTTTGAAAGGCTGAACAAAAACCGCTTGCATTTAAAGAGCACCGAGTTCTCACTCAGCAACAGAAAAAAAAATCAAAGGCCAAGTGTTGCTCTTCTTTTTTGTCAGCAGCTTGTAGTTTGCCAGGTAATCTTCCGGAGGAGGCGTCCACTCGGCCTCCAGCGTAAGAGCCTGACTGGGTTCGTCTGGTCTCTTAACCCGCCTGCACTGACAGGTGCGTTTGTCGCGGCCACGCCCTCCCAGGCCCCTCACCAATCACAACACGTCCTGTCTCTTTACCTTACACCCAGAGGAATGCATGTCAAAGGAAATCCATAAACTGTTCAAGAAAAGCAACAAAAAATCACAACACAGTAATAATAAATAAGACAACGTTAAACAGAAAGATGTATTTACAGTATAACAATATTCTATCAATGTAATGGAATAAAATATATATAAAAACACAGAAATAGAATAGTGGTTTATTTATTTTAAAAAAGATTCCAGAGACTATACTCACAAAAGTTTCACCACTTGGAGAGTTAAAATACACGCAACACAAACACCATAGCTCTGAGTATTTCTGTTTGGGTAAGCGGTGCTTTTGGAGGATGAACTCAGCTACAGAACTCCATCAGGCAAAAGGAACCCTGACTAATTATTCAGACTTCAAGGCCTTAGTTAAATTTCTACTTTTAAAATGTTAAAATCATCTATAATCTTCATATAATAATGATTTAAAAACCAAACATGTGATGTAATGTGGCCATGCTTGATATTTCATTCATTTCATTATGAGTTAACAATAATTTTTTTATTGTCGTTTTAATAGTGCTAAAAATATTGATTTGGTAACTCGTATTGTCAAAAATTTGTAACAAATAAATTAATTACAATGATTGTTTTTTGTTGTTCTTTAAATCCCAGTTTGTATTTAAATACTGTAGCATATGCGCTATGCTGTCACCAGTGATTTTTATTTTTTTTTATGTCATTTTAGCTTAAAATCCTCATATCAGACCTCTAATCTGATTACATCTGTCAAACTAATATTACATCCATGCTTTGGGTCGGTAGTGTTTAGCCCATTAATGTCACCTCTTGTGTGCAGCTTTGGGAAAAATAAAATCAATATGTTACCACATGCATAAAACTTAACAATGACCAAGTATGTTTTTTTGTAAAAATTTTGTTCAGAATTCATGTTTGCAAGAAAATATTTATTGTTTTAATTTGGACACCATCTTAAACCTAACCCTAGAAGGTCAAAAACAATTAAAATACTTTTTAAAACATTAGGTTGTTACTAGGGCTTGGGATCGACTCGTCATAACCCCGATGCGGCCGCCAACAGTCTACTTATTGCTTGTTGCTCCAGACAACAGCGTGCTCAGTCTCGTTCTTGCAGCTTTATTTAATCCATTATTTATTTGATCGTTCATATGACACAACATGGGGTGCAACACGCGATCGCCAGGGACAACGGACTAACTTTTCACCATTTTCCTGCTTGGAGGAATAACCACTAAGACCAAGTACCTAACATAAAGTCCCGTCGGCTCGCAGTTGTAAGGCGCCCAAACGTCACCTTCTGGTGTATTTTATTCTGGTAAATTATATATGGTATATGTTTTTTATACGGGTTTTTTTTCTTCAACTGCAAAATGCACACACACACACACATCGGTAGGCAAATGTGGGCATACTGAAACAACACTTCTGTTACACTTCTTTGGGATGGGATGACCATTTAAATTGTTTTACTAGGGAATAAAAGCCAGTGGAACGGTTACCTCTCATCCAGATGTTTACATCTGCTCACACCACAAACAAGCTGGCCCAAAATGTTTGATATGCAGAACTGCGGCGGCAACAAGTTGTTGTCGGTGCTCCAGTCTTGGGTCTTTCATATGATCTGAACCGTTCATAATGCTGACTTTGTCCATCGACCGGTCCCGGACATCTTCATTTAACACATCCCTGTATGTTCTGCATCGTTTTGGGGATTGTAACATGTTGTTTGACATTTCCTTTCTCCCAAATCTGCTTCTTCTCTGCGACGTACTTTTTGTTTTCACGGTTTGTTTACACTCTTAAGGCCACCAACGTGTCTGCGCACATCCCAGAAGGCAACGCGTAATCACGTGCCATCCCAAGCCCTGTAATTTGTTTTCATGTTTTGTTGTTTTGCTTGTTGAGGATTAATCCCCTCAACTTGTGATCTTCTACAAGACAAGCACATTCATTTTTATCATTTAATAATTTATCACACTATTTAATATTTGATTATTTATCTTCAAAGCACCACTTAATGGCACACAATAAAAAACAGCATTTTGAATATTGTCAGAAAGCCTAACGGAGCTATAATTAGCCAGGGTTGTGAGATTAGTTTCTGTTGTCTCATCTTCTAAAAGCACACGTTTATATTTATGATATAATGTAAACTGAATATTATTTTTGATTATTTGTCGTTTGTTTTTTCTGCTCGTAGTGCTGGGATGATGTATTTTGTCTTCTGCTGCGGTTTGTTTCTGCTTGTTTTCTTGTTCCAGGCCCCTTGAAAGAATGTGTTACGTTGCATGCTGGTCACCTTGTCTTAACCTGTAGAGGATGATTTGTAAAGATCGCAACAGTCTAAAGCCATAACGTTCAATCATCAGAATGAGAAAACGAGGACCGACGACGGAGATGACAGAAACGTGTTTGAGTTTTGTTAAATGTAATTTTCCTGCACTAATTAAAGACATGAAAGAAAGTGAGAAGAACTTTAAAAATGAACTGATCCAACTTTGCAGATTGTGTGTTAGTTAAAAGAAAAGCCATGGAAGATTTTTTTCACGGGGCCTGTATCGCTATATATTCTTGCTGTTATAAATTTAAAATATGAAATAAAATTTCCAACTGAACTGAACTTTTTCAGTCTGCTTTTTTATTTTTATGAGTTTTTATGAATTCCTTATGAAATAATAAATATCTGATCTGTTTTGGGGGGTTTTACCAACTGTTAGCGGTCTTAGGGCTCCCCTTTTGTGGGGGACCTATACAATATATGACCCCATATGACAATAAAAATAGTCAAATATGGTTAATCGGCAGGACAAGACCTGAGGAAGACCCAGGACAGGCTGGAGGGACTTTCTCTTGGCCGGCCAGGGAACGCGTTGGGATTCCCCTAAAGGAGCTAGCCGAAGTGGCTGGGGAGAGGGGAGGCTGGGCCAACCTGCTTAGGCTACTGCCCCCGTGATCCGACCACGGTTAAGCTGCACCAGCAGAACCTGGGCTACAAGGATGTACAAACCTTTTCTTTTACATGTTCCAACAACTAAAACTAACGATAAATGAATTATCACAAATCGATTTTCACACAGCACCACTATGTGAACGTTTTTGCCACATTTCCGTTTCCAATGCTGCTAAACTTAACATTGCAAACACGCTTATTAATATTAATTTTTTAATATTATTATTACTGCATCATTTTAAAGTTAAAGTTCAAGTCCCATTAGTTATCACACACACTGATGTGTGTGCGAAATTTGTTCTCCGCATTTGACCCATCCCCTGGGGGAGCGGTGAGCTGCAGACACGGCCGCGCTCGGGAACCATTTGGTGGTTTAACCCCCCAATCCAACCCCTTAATGCTGAGTGTCAAGCAGGGAGGCATTGAGTCCCATTTTTTTCAGTCTTTGGTATGACCTGACCAGGAATCGAACCCTGATCTCCCAGTCTCAGGGCTGACACTCTAGCACTAGGTCACTGAGCTGGTAGTAGTAGTAGTAGTAGTAGTAGTGGTGGTGGTAGTGGTAGTAGTAGTAGTAGTAGTTGTAGTAGTAGCAGTAGAAGTAGTAGTGGTAGTAGTAGTAGTAGTGGTAGTAGTAGTAGTTGTAGTAGTAGCAGTAGAAGTAGTAGTGGTAGTAGTAGTAGTAGTGGTAGTAGTAGTAGAAGTAGTATTAGCGGTAGTGGTAGTAGTAGTGTAGTAGTGGTAGTAGCAGTGGTAGTTGTAGTAGTAGTTGTAGTAGTAGTGGTAGTAGTAGTACCATACCATACCATTTTATTTATAAAGCGCATTCAACATGGCATTACAACCAGACAAGGCGCTGTACATTAAAAGATTACAGTTAAATTAACACGTTCAGAATGACATTTAAAGCATAGTTTATAAGAAAAAATGAAAACAAGAAAATACTCGAACTAACAGTCGTAAAACACTAAAAACGCAAAGGAATGTGAAACAACAGATAAAAACATATGAAAGAACCACAGTAATACAGATGTTAATTATTGTGCATTCTATTGTAGAAAGAATGCAGATGTCGAAAGTGGTCCATGATTATGTATTATATGCAAGGTTGAAGTAGTGAGTTTTCATGCGAGATTTAAAAATGCTAATTGTTGGTGCTTGCCTCACTAGTAGTGGTAATGCATTCCACAGCTTGGGAGCACAGACAGAGAAAGCCCTTTCTCCACGGCTTTTCAGACGTGCGTTTGGAAGAGCTAGGAGGAGCTTATCCTCAGACCTGAGAGCACGAGGCGGATTGTAGTAATGGACGAGTTGACACAGATATGGAGGAGCTTGACTGTTCAGGGATTTATAAGTGAGCAGCATGATTTTGAAATTGATCCTGAGATGAACGGGCAACCAGTGGAGAGATTTTAGAATTGGTGTAATGTGCTGTCTTCTGTCAACTCCAGTCAGGAACCTAGCTGCTGAATTCTGGACTAGCTGAAGTCTAGATTGAGCTGCTTTACTGATGCCGTATAAGCAGGAGTTGGAGTAATCCAGCCGTGAAGTGATGAAAGTGTGGACTACTGATTTGAGAAGACGGACACTCAGGATGTGCTTAAGTTTAGAGATACGCCTGAGGTGGTAAAAACATGAATTAACTGTGTTATTGACCTGAGCATCCATCTTCAGAGCCTGGTCTATTTTAACTCCAAGGTTGGAAATTACAGTGGAGACATTAGGTGAGAGATAGTTGAGGTCAGGTTGAAGAGTAGCCGGGATGCTGTGAGGATTAAAAACGATTACTTCTGTTTTGGAGTCATTCAGATGGAGGAAGTTATCAGCAAGCCAAAGCTTAACATTATCGATACAATCAGACAGAACTTGCATTGATTGAGTTGGCTTGAATGAAAAGTAGATCTGACAGTCATCAGCGTAAAGATGGTATGAGACAGCGTGCCTTCTGAAAATGGCTCCTAAGGGCAGTATATAGAGGTTAAATAGTAACGGGCCGAGTATTGAACCTTGTGGGACACCCCAACGGAGTGGTTGTGACTCGGATGAACAGCCATCCAACATGACTCTAGCGGACCTGTTATAAAAGTATGACCTGAACCAATCTAGGGCTGAACCAGAAATGCCAGCCCAAGTCTGAAGTCTGGTGATCAAGATGTTATGATCGATCGTGTCAAATGCTGCTGATAGATCCAAAAGTAGCAGAACCACATGGAAACCTGAATCTAAAGCGAGAAAAATGTCATTAAACACCCGAACATGAGCAGTTTCAGTGCTGTGCTGTTTTCTGAAACCAGACTGAAAAATGTCCATTACCTGATTGTCATTTAGATGTGTCAGCATCTGTTCATACACTATTTTCTCAAGGACCTTAGATAAAAACGGTAATTTGGAAATTGGTCGGAGATTAGAGTAATCAGTGGGGTCGAGACCAGGTTTTTTCAAGATTGGCTGAAGAACGGCGTGTTTAAAGGCAGAAGGAACTTCAGCCAATGTCAAGCTACTATTTAAGATGTCTAGCACATTATGGCTAATGAAAGGAAAAACCTCTTTCAGGAGACGAGGTGGGATAACATCTTCTGGGGAGCCAGACGGTTTCGTGGCAGCAACAGTTTTTTCTAGATAGGGCAGAGAGATGGGCTGAAAGCTTTGAAGTTGCACATGTGGGGGAATGACTGAATCAGGAACATGGTTGGTTTGGTGAATCTGAGCTCTGATTACACTAATCTTATTTAAGAAAAACTGCAGGATTTGGTTACACAAGTCAGCAGACGCAGAGGAAAATAGTTTTGTAACTGGTGAAAGCACTGCATTCATAGTTTTATATAACACACCTTGATTATTAGAATTAGCCGTTACGATGCTTGCAAAAAATCGATTTCTTGCGCCTCTGACTGCTCTTTGGTACTGAGACCACGCCTCTCTCATGGATTCAAAGGATACAGTAAGCCTGTCTTTTATCCATTTACGTTCCAGTCTTCTGGCATGTTGTCTCATGGAACGAGTTTGCTCGTTCAGCCATGGGTCAGGTCGGGATGTATTTCGCCTTGATTTTAATGGAGCGACAATATCCAAAGCAGCCAGACAGGATGAATCAAGCGCATGAAGTAATCCCTCAACAACAGTAAATTCATCAGTAGATTGAAATGGAGCTGAATTCAAAGCAAGAATAGCAGCAAAATGTGCAGCAGTATTGGGTCCGATTGTTCGAGAGAAGCTGGGACGGAAACACTCAACACGAGAGGCAGAGTCTAAGTTCATATTAAACACAACTGGTGAGTGATCAGAAAAAGTTGCAGGTAGAATGCCAAGATCACTAATTTGCAGCCCATGACAAAAAATCAGGTCTAGTGTGTGTGTATGACCATGGGTGGGTCCATTAACACGTTGGGACATGCTAAATGAGTCAATAAGATCTAAGAAATCCTTTACCAAAGGTTTGTCAGGACAGCAGACATGAATATTAAAATCACCCAGCAAGAGTATTTTTCCATATCTGCAGGAGACGTCTGCCAGGAAGTTTGCAAATTCATTAAGAAAATCCTTGTTATAGGGTGGTGGACGGTAAATGAGTGCACATAACAATGGAGGGGAACGTCCCAATTCAAACAAACTTAATTCAAAAGACAATGGAGTTGATTGATGGGTAATCGGTGTGCAGACAAGATCTGATTTGAATATAGTCAATAGACCTCCGCCCCGGCGCTGTGCTCTTGGAATGTTAATGAAGGAGCATCCAGGAGGTAACATTTCAACAATAGCAGCTGAATCTCCAGGGGTTAACCATGATTCAGTGGCGCATAGAACAGACAAGCTATTGTTCAGGAAGAATTCCTTCAGAATAAAAGTTTTATTTCCAACCGATCTGGCATTGATCAGTGCAAAGCGAGTCGACTGCTTTCCCGATGGAAGAGAAAGTCCGGCTCCATCAAATCTTGCAATATACTGTAGGTTGGCCAGATTTATTCCCCGCTGATTGTGCCGTCCAAAACGAGAGCGGCGAAAACGAGAGCGGGAGGGCAACCCGGTGGAACCCAAAGAAACAACAGGCACCAAGCACCCACCTCGAGCATCAGGGGAACTCCGAAAGCACCGCTCCTTTCCCCATACGCAGTAATCTGATGTGATTAGGCGATCTCCACATCTCCCCCGATTGTGTGCCGCAAGCTGGTCAGCAGCGGTCGGCCGCCGGATCATCCTCGGTTCCGAAGCACGCATACAGCGCTTGGCTCCGTGAGCTCCCAGCTGGAGAATCATCCCCACATCCCACGCACTCGCGCAGCTCTCAGCTCCGTGAGCTCCCAACTGGCCGGTCATCCACACCTCAGACACATCCATGTAACATTCAGCTCCATGTCCTCCCGGTAGCAGCGAGATCAGCTCGACTCGATTAGTAGTAGTAGTAGTAGTAGTAGTAGTAGTAGTGGCAGTAGTGGTAGTAGTAGTAGAAGTAGTATTAGCGGTAGCGGTAGTAGTAGTAGAAGTAGTATTAGCGGTAGTGGTAGTAGTAGTGTAGTAGTGGTAGTAGCAGTGGTAGTTGTAGTAGTAGTAGTAGTAGTAGTAGTAGTAGTAGTAGTGGTAGTAGTATTAATAGTAGTAGTAGTAGTAGTAGTAGTAGTGGTAGTAGTATTAATAGTAGTAGTAGTAGTAGAAGTAGTAGTGGTAGTAGTATT